TGAGAGTGCGCCTTTTAGTCCGGTGCGCCTTATGTGTGTGTTAAATACAGAAATGGGACACATAACTGAGAGTGCGCCTTTTAGTCCGGTGCGCCTTATGTGTGTGTTAAATACAGAAATGGGACACATAACTGAGAGTGCGCCTTTTAGTCCGGTGCGCCTTATGGTCGTGAAAATACGGTAATATGGTTTGCAGGAGGTCAAACAAACATTCATTATGTTTTCCAGTGATTTATATAATAAATAAATTCAAACAATAACTGTAAACCTTTCTGTCAATGAAGATTTACGTCATGGCCTGCAACACACGTTTCAGCGCGGCGCAGTGCCAGGCAGGTGGCTGTTGTAAACAAAGCGATGGGTGTGTCTCAGGCCATGGATCCCAAAGGGTAAAAAAAGGAAGATAGCTAATGAAAACAAAGGATTCAAAGAAGTATGGACAGTTAATCAGAAAATAACGTGCAATTGTAAAGGCACAGTTGCAAAAAAAAAAGCTACAGTCGTTGCTTGCTGAATTGCACATATACGATCCTTCACATTCGCTCTGTATATCTTCATGCAAATTATTTCATCTGAAATCTTTTTACATCATCTAATGGGTCTATTTGTCTGTCTATCTGCTGTATGCATATTTGTTCACATTATGTTGCTCTATTGGCCTTTATTTGAAGCCTGCAGATACAAACGTGGAGAGAGAAGGGGGAGATGTTAAGCAAAGGGTTTTTCAGGTCTGAGGTAATCCCAGTGGATCACTTCAATTTTGATGATTGTGGATTACAGCAAATTTTAACCCCAAGTTCAGCTATTTCTGTCACTTCTGCACCTTTTTCTGTGACAATTTTCCATCCATTTCACTTTTCCCTAACATGCTTAAATACAGTACTCTGTAAATGGACAGTTTCTTTATTTGTGTCTTTTTCTGAGTCAGACCCTGAGAAATATATGGTGGACAACAAATAGGTTTGTAGACTCCTTTATGACAGTTAAGCCCGAAATTCAACACTTCTGTTTTATTTATTCTTGTTGGTCTGATGTAAAAATCCATCTTTCTAAGAATGTCAATGTTGGGTTTAGTTGTAAGTCTTACTCCATGGAATGAAGAGAAATTGAGGCTTGTGTAAAATTATTTCACATATAAGTTTTGTCTTTAAATTATATTATTGGAATGCACTTTTCAGGGATACTCAAATTCATTTGAGATGCATTTTGAGTATCATTGTTTGTCTTACTGTGTGCAAGGCTTGACAGACTCACTTGAAAGAACCTTGTGATGCCCTAGAAATTCAGCAGCTAGACAGGCACTGGTCTGGTGTTGCAGAACCAGAGCAGCAGCTTGGAGGCAGAGGAGCAGCCACTGGAGAAGCAAGAGGGGGAAGAAGAAGAGATGTAGGGAAGAAAATGGATCAAGTACAAACAGATAAAAAAGGAAAATAAAAGGGCAACCAGGAATGTGGATGAATAATATTACAACAGGTACAATCATGGAAAATGGAAGGAATAAAAAAATGAAAAACAACGAAGCAATGGTTAAATAAGAAATGAGTACAAATGGTTATGAATGGAAATAAAGTAGACAAAATAACAAAACAGAAACAGAAATAGGTAGAGAAAAACACGTGGAGAAAAAAAAGGTGATAAAAAAATACGCCAGCAAAGAAAATGAAACACGAGGATGAATAACGGACCAAGACATTTCATAAAAATATCAAAGAACACAAGTTGAAAGGTGAAGTTAGGATGGTTATAAGTAAAGGAAAGGCAAGAGGAAAGAAAGGGAGGGGCAGAGAAAGGAAAAACAAGGTTAGTTGACACCAAGAGGATTCATCAAACAGCAGCCAAGACAAGACTACGTGTGTGTGGGTGTCTGAATGCTTGTGATTATTTCTTGAGAATGTGTTAACATTGGGAGGAAAAAAAGTAAACCTTAAGTCAGAGTTCGACCCTTAAACAATGGTATCTATAACTTATATATATTACAACTTGTATAATAGTGTATGACATATAAAATGTAGTATAAAAAAGATTTACAGTTGGCAATAATCTTGTTTATACTGTGCATTCATTGCACACGGTGAGTTATTGATGCAGAGAAGTCTCAACGCCGTATCAAACACTCCTTCAGACGACATTGGTAATACAGCTACAGACTGGTCATTTAAACATAACCAGCCTGTACATGATTTTCTAAAGAAGTTATTATTGAAGTAAATTATAAAAAGAAAACAATATTTGTTACCAAGACAGACTCTAAAAGAATATTGGCAGCATCAAGCTGAGTAAGCTGAGTTTTAAGACAAACTTCTTCTCTTGCATCGACGTTCAAACTATTTGAGGTATGTTAGTTTGCTGAACTACCTTTGATTAATCTAAAAAAAACAATAAATCGATCCATTTCTACAATAATCAACCACGGTTGACTTGTTAAGCAATAACCAGTGCTTTAAACATCTTATAGTCTTCTTTAGTCTGGTAACTTAATTATTGTTTGGGCTTACAGTTCCTCAGTTATTTGCTTTTATATTTTGGTAAAGAAAAAAAAGTGAATTTTCCAGAAATTAGGTAGATATTAAGAGGTTAAGTCATTAAACTTGTATATCTATTTGTATGTTTTCTTCATCTCTGAATTTCCCCACTGTGGGATGATAAAAGATATTTCTCTTTTAAAATATCTACAAAAAACTGACAACCCTGCCAAACATGGAAGTAGCAAAGATTTGAAGGGAAAAAGACAAAAACCTCATGGCTTGAAACTTGATGAAGGAAGACACAACAATTCTGGAGAAGGGGATTTGCTATGAAATACTATGCAAAGATAAAACTACAGTGCATGTCAGCTTGACTACATCCTGATGTGAGTATGGCTTCGTTCAATAGTAACAGGGACCCTGACCAGAGTAGATAGGAGCTTCCAAGAGCTGAATATCGGGCAATCCAGGAGGATGTTCCTCTTGTAAAATATTTAGGAGCAGCACACAGGTTCCCTTTCCAGCAGGACCATCCTGTTAAATTTATAAACCAAGCTACAATGGATCAGGGGCATCTTCGTAGCCTAGTAAAGTACCCCCACCCGCCAGCGGCCAAAATCATTTTTGCCTGCGAGTGGTCTAGCCTCGATCATTGCCCCAAGCACTAGAACTGGCGGGCCAATCACAACGCAGAGATGTGTTTTGAATTTCTGGATGCAAAGCCGGTGTGGTTTTGAGGGGGATACGACAAAGCTGCATGACGCTGGGGAAAGCACAACAAGGAAGATGGCAACAACTATTGAACAATAGCATGCACTGTGGCAGCAGCAGCTTTCAATGGAGCGCTCCATTGTGAACAAAACTGTCTCAAAACTGCAAACTAGTTTTGTGAAAAGTGAAAAAGTGAAGCCTCACTCGAGCAAGCAAACGTGACACAGCGGGGACACAGCAGACATGCATGAACTGCATTATCTTCAACACGTGTGTCACTATAAAACTAATCAATCTCATTCCCTATACATCGATATTGCAAACATGTAAAGGAATCGATTCAAAATTGATTAAATAGTTTTTTTTAACCCAGCCCTAATTTTAATATCATTTGAGGCGAGAATATTATACTTTAAAGCATCACTATATTGTCCATTTACAGATTTAATGCGTAATTAAAAAAAACTATTGCTGAAGTTGAGAGGACCGTGGCAACCAGCGGACCTCCGAGGCTATCGGCAGCCAGGTCTAACCGCAGCCGGTCTGCAGCTGCCCTCTCTCGGCATAGTCGTGTGTGAGTGGCCGCTGGCTCTGATGGCGATTTCTGACTCAGACCTGGGGTTTTCATTGAAATTTGAGCAGGAAGAGGCTCTACGCTCATTCGTTTTTAAGAAGGATGTATTCGCCGTTTTACCGACAGGCTGTTTGTTTACACTCCCCGACCAGCTTTCTGTCGCGCTTTCTATGTCACAGTCAGTTGCGCTCATTGGTCAGAGCGTTGGCCAATAGGCAAAGACAGTTGAAAGACAACGGATTGTTCTCAGCAACAATCTTCCGATGTCTCATTCATTAGGGCCAGACTAAATGAGACATTTAATCTCACATTTGGTCTGGTTTATCAGTCTAGCATCTTCGTACACTCCTCAAGGACCATTGTCAAACATGTTTTTAGAAGTGTTCCTTCTTAGATGACCATAAGGGCTAAATTACCTCCTTAGCATGTCATCCAATTTGACAGTAGTTGGCTGATAATACACAGTTGATTTTATAAGAATCACATAATTATCAAAAACATCCAGGACATTAGCTATTAAAGACAGACCTATAAGATAAAACTGGTTTGAATCAAAGAATATTCAAAGGTTATAATAGCAAAATATTTAATAGTTAATATAGTAATTATAATATAATATAAAAGTTTCAAGCAGCGTCTCTGCTAAGAAATTACAACTTTTGTCCAAACAGTACCTACTTCAATTTTTCATAAACAAGAATAATTAGACACATTAAGTGTTTATGTGCTGCAAAGCTGATAGGAACATAGGATAATAGATTTCCAGCTGCAGCCACAAAGAAACTTGGTTCTAAAAATGAAAGCTTTAATCGTGCTTAGCACAAATTAATGCCACATTTTTTCAGATTTCTTTTGTAGCAAAAAAAAAATCCATGCATCATTTTCTTCTGCTTAACACGCTTGTCTCTTTGTGTTGGCTCGGCACATAAAATACAGCTGGAGGAAATAACGTCAAAACGTTCAAGTGGTAGAAACACTTGCACATTTGTCTGACAGTGTATTTCACCTGATTTAGTCCATTCTGCCTTTATCACTATTTTTTTTTTATCTTTTTAACCACACTTTCTGAAGTGACTCATGCCCACACTGTTCATGCCCACATTACAACACCCTTAGTTCAAACTAAAATGTCTCCAATGGACAGATAATGAGCTGAAACCTTCTGTTAGCTTTTGATGATGGTGTGAAGAGGGCGAATGGAAAATAACTTTCCAAGAAATTTTATAGAAATTATACTGAAACCTCAACATGAGCTAAAATACTAGAAAACTGGTATATGAACAGTACGAGGAGAAGGGAGACACAGAAATGGATCAGCAAATTAAAACAATATTAACCATAATCTTAGTGCGGCAAGAAAATAAATCGGAATAAATGAGAATAAGTGTTGCAGGGTAGGTGTGTATGTGTGTATACCTGTTTAGGCATCAGAGTGAGGACCATCTTTCCAATTTCACAATCACAATAGGGAGCAGTTGTTATAAAGTGAGGACATTTTGCTGGTCATCTCCAGGTATTTTGCTAATGGTTAGGTTTAGGGCTATGGTTTCATTTGGGAATGGGGTTAGGGTGAGGTTTACATTGGTAATGGTTAGGTTTAGGGTTAGTCTTAGGGTTAGGGGATAGAAAGGGTTAAAAATTACTGAAAATCAATGGAAGGGATTCAACACATGGTCCATACTACATATAGCAGAACAAAAAGCGCTTTGTGTGTGTGTATGTGTGTGTGTGTATTTGTGTGAGTAGGGTTTTTTTATTTCCCATTTGCTGATATTGAAACATAGTAAATGTACTCCTAGAAAACATAGAATGACATTCAAAGTGATATTTCTAATCCTGCAGCCAGATTTCTAGTAGTAAAACATTTTAGCTAATCTAAATTCGGTCTAGTAACCTTTTCTGGATAAGATCATACAGTAATCGTATAGTTTGCACCCAGTGACACTGGCTACTATGGCAACCAGTTACCTATAATAAACCCACTTCCTCCAGCTTTTTCATCTCATGACTGCAGGACACATTTCCCCTGGATGGACATGATGAGCAGGGAGCCGCAACTGAACACAACTTGATGAACGTTTGTGCAGCCACAACATTCTCATCACTTTCCATTTTTGTTTAAACAAACATCAGTCATTGGTTTATGGGATTACATATTCCAAACCAAGTCTCTGACCAGTAAGAACATTATGAGATTACAGCTAAATTTGATCATGTAAGACTATCCCAAAAAGCGGGTTTCATATTAAAACTGCAACATTTTCAAAGGCTTCTCTGGCTAAGGCTTTGTTGTTGGGTCCAAAAGACCGATTTTAGGTTTAAGCAAGAACAGAAAGTTCCTTTTTTTCCTCTACATTTTGAACTTAGTATGATTTCCTGTAAAAAGAAAATGTTTATCATTTGGGGTAAAACTCTCTAAGAACTTCCACTTAGTTTACAAAATGCTGTCTTTATGTGATATTTGTCAGAAGGAATGTGTAAGCCGCACTTATATGTTATGTGCTTGTGGCCGAATGCAGCTGACATCCTAGTGGCATTTAACCTAACAGCCTGAAGCCAACACTTCCTGTTTGGGTTTTCTGTTTGATATTGTTTATATCTGTG